CCAGCACCAGCCGGAGGTTCAGCCCCCCCTCCAGCAGCCTGCAGCCCGGCAAGATGAGCGAGGTCAGCCCGGTGGTGGTAGCCCAGCAGCAGCAGCAGCAGCAGCAGCAACAGGACGCGGCGGCCGCCGTGCCCCGGCTGCGCCCCCACGATAACCGCACCATGGTGGAGATCATCGCTGACCACCCCGCCGAGCTGGTCCGCACCGACAGCCCCAACTTCCTCTGCTCCGTGCTGCCCTCGCACTGGCGCTGCAACAAGACCCTCCCGGTGGCGTTCAAGGTAAGACTCCCCCCTCCCGCAGCCGCCGCGGCCCGGGATGCTCCCCCCGCGCCCCCTGCCCTTCCTCCTGCAGGGGTTTCTGTGCCTCCCCCCCCCACTCTCGGCCCGCTGTATCTCCGGTGATCCCCGTCCTGCAGGAGCTTCTGTGCCCCGCAGCCCGGAGGGATTTCTCTGTGTGTGTCCCGCAGTTCCAGCCCCCAGCCCCGTCCTTCAGTGCCTTCTGTGCCCCCCGGCCCGCAGGGAATTTTGTGTCCTCCTCCGGCCCGCAGGGACTTTTCTGCCCTCCCGCCCCCCCTCCTGCAGCATCTCAGTGCCCCACCGGCCCGCAGGGGTTTCTGTGTCCCCCCCGAACCTCTGCCCCCGCAATGTCTCCGGTGGTCCCTGGGCTGCAGTGCCTCCTGTGCCCCCCTGACGCCCCCAGCCCTGCAATGCTTCCCCGTGCACCCCCATCCTGCAACGCCTCCTGTGCCCCCGCGGGGCCCGGGGGGTTTCTCTGACCCCTCCAGTCCTGCAATGACTCCTGTATTCCCCCCCACACCCCACAAGTGTTCAAGTCTTGCAGTGCTTTCTGTATCCTGTCACCGTCCCGCCTGTGCCTCTTGTGCCCCGTCCCGCGATGTCTCGGAGTGCAGCCCCCCCAGTGCCTCTCATCCCCCTCTCTCAGTCCTGCAGTGGCTGCCGTGCCCCCCGTCCTGCTGTGCTTCCTGTACCCCCGGTGCCCCCCTGCTCTGCCCCCCCTCACCTTTGCTGTGCCCCCCGTGCTCCAGCTCTGCCCCCCTCACCTTTGCTGCACCCCCGTTTCCCCCCAGCGCTGCCCGCCCTCCCTGCACGGCCCGCACCCCTGGAGCCATCCCGTAATCTCCATGCCCGCGGGACACTGCCGGCCTGTGCCCCCCGCAGCCCAGGGGCACCCTCAGCATCCCCCCGGGAGACAACCCCTGCTCCCCACAGTCTCTCTCCTTGGGCTTTTTTTGGAAGAAACCTGCTTTCCGTCCCTAGGGAAAGAGGGATTCAGCGCTGGGCCGTAGCTCAGTGTGGCACCCCTTATCCTCGAGAAACCATCCCCGACCCACAGGGGTGCTGCCCCTTCCTCCTCTCCTTTCCCGGGAGCGGGTCTGGAGGGTGCCTCTGGAGCGTGCAGGGGGGGCTGGAGTCCGAGGGTCAGGCTGGAGAGCAGAGTGGGATCGGGACTTTGCCCTCCAGCAGCCGGGGCAGAGATGGGGCTGGGAAACGGGGACACAGAGCACCTGGAGGGGGGGGACACGGGGCCCCTTCACTTCTCCTGGTGGACAACCGAGGAAGTGGCTGCCCAGAGACACTCTCCTTGGCAGGGTCGCACATTTCCATAATAAATCCCACCCCGCTCTGCACTGGGGATGCTGCTTTTAATTTTCTGTCTATCCCCACGGCGCGCTAATGAGAGGAAACGATTTTAGAAAAAAACCTGTAATAATAACACCAGTAATTGCGTGCTTTAAAGCAAGCCCTTCTCCTCTTCTAGCAATATTTCCAAGTGTTCCCCCTGGAGTTTTCCTTCCCGTGGCTTTTGGTAGGGAGGGGGCAATGGCTGAGGTGTCCCCAAGTGCCTTCCTGAGCAGGGCATGGGTCAGAGTGAGGTGGGGTGGCCCTGCGAGGGTTTCAACATTTTCCTGTGAAAATGATACACCTGGAAATTCCTGAAAAGATAGAAAAGTTTGGAAACAAAGTCTCACCCAGCGCGTTCCAGAACACCGCTTTTTTCTTGTGTTTCCCGACTGCCAGCCGTGTTATCATGGCTGTTTGTCCGGGAAAAATAGTAAAAGTGGTTAAATGAGCCCCTGGTAAAGTGAGTGGTGATAACGATGGAAGTTTGCAGTTTGCTTTGAAGATGTTGCGGGTGTGCGGGTGAGGCTTGGCTGAAGTGCTCGTGTGTGCGGGAACAGCTTGGAGAAGCTGGAATTGCGGGAGGAATCTTTTGCACAGGGCCTGCTCGTGCGGGTCGTGATGGTCGGGCTGAGCAGAACAGGCAGGAAAATGGGGTGTCTTTTGACTCCATGGTTTGGTGTAGCACTCAGAGGCTCTCTATATGTGGATCGCAGTGTTTCTGATTCAGAGGGGCTGCGGGGTAAGGAGGAGGAGCTTTCAGAGAATTGTGATTATAATTTAATTGAGCGCTAGATTAAGTTGGTGTTATAGTTACTCTTTAAAGCAGGGATGCGGGAGCTGTTACATTACCGTGCTCACTTTGCTGTTCTCATTTGAGGTGTCTGAGCCTTCTCCTACCTCACAGCAATTCAAAGGATGCGGTCGCACCTCATTAGAATAAGGGAAAGATCTAAACTAAATATTAAAGTATTTAGAATATTATTAAAATAAGAATGCTTACATGTGTTAAAAAGGTAGACAAAGGATTAGACTGTTCCCCAGTCTTTTTGTGTTCATATATATGTATTTGTATGTGTCTTATATGTGGGTCCTGTGTTTGATTGCTGACATGGAGGTGCAGATATGACCGATTTTCAGATTCATCAGAGGCACACCATGTTGCCCCTTGCACCCAGCTGCTGTGGGTGCAGCTGTGTTTTTATATGCAATATGCACTTTTAAAAATATGCCAAAATTATATATGCCCTTCTTTACCTCTAAATTAATTTGAAATTCACTTGAAATACTTATGACTATTTTAAAAAAATCTCTTTCATTTTTCAAATGCAACTTGCATGCAGCTGCCCAGTAGTTTTAGACCAAAGGAGCTGCATGTATCATACTGTGAAACACTTGATTGTGTTACAACAGAATGCGAATCAGTTCTGAAAGGGAAAAAAAGAGACAGATATGAGCTATAGAAATCTCAGCTAAACAATAACTTGAAAATGAAATAGCTCACAGACAACACACTTTGTGAAGTTTTATTGGCAATAAATAGTATGTTGATGATAATGTTTTGAGTGGTGTGTTAAGTGTGTCATAATTCTCTCACAGCGATCTCGAGCAAAAACGTACGCTGGATATAGCACTGTTTTAATTTAAAAAAACAGATATAAATCATATGCAGGAGAGGAAGTATGTTATAAACAGTGCTGGGTTTGATTATAATTTTTTGAAATAGTGTTGGCTTAGCATTAGGTTTGAATTTTAAGTATTAATATTTGCACACACTGGGGAGGGAGTCCCTGTCGTGTGCTCACCAAGAAGATTGTTAATGCAGTCTGGTTTTGTGGGGAAGAGTATTAGATAAGTACTTGTTAGTACAGCTCTAGCTATTAATATTCAGAGTAAAATAAATGGATATTGTGCACCCAGGTCCAAATCATATTCACTTCTTAATCTCAGTAGCCAGCAATACTTTATTTGAGTCGAGTCATCAGAATTTGGCCCCTCTGTGGGAGTTTTTACTGCAAGTCATAAAGACCCAGATTGCCATGTTAGAAGTGACTTCTGTATGATGCTAATAGCAGCAGAGAGTCTTAGTGGACCTAAAGGCAGGGGGAAAAATGGGATGTGGAGTCTAAAACACTTCTCCAGTAGCACCACAGTAGTTCAGGGTCTGTCAGCATTTCCCTCCAAACCCCAATTTTCGGAGTTTATAACTCAGCTGTTTTAAATAGCTTCAAGCTGAAACCTGCTGTATAAATTGTCAGCCCAGATGTAGATTTGAAACAAAAAGTAGCGCAAATCAGTTATTCTGTTTTAAGTTACAGGACACTGAAATATTTTTAATAGTATCAGATGCTCTTTTGGCAATGTCTGGGTAAAGCATTCTCAATACAGAAGATTTTACATTCAGAGGCTGTTTGAATTCAGTGTTTGCAAGAAAGCTTTTTGAAGTGGCAAATATCAATGTTTGAGAGGAACTAGTTAGCACGTACACTAGTGTTGGCCTTTTTTTTTTTTCAGACAAGCATTTTATTCTGCAGAAAGTCTGAGTACCTGCTGTTGTATAGGAGTTTTGCTTTGTGCTTATAACTTCCGTCTTCAGGCTACATACTTTGGCCAGTTCAAATCCCACTGGACCGAAACTGGGCAAACAGGTTGCTTAACCAGAATTGTGTTATGCAAAAAACACATAGTTATTTTCAACTCATAAGAATTGGTTTGGTTTTATTTTGGGGATTCATGTACCTTTTTGAGCTCTAGTAGAGACGAGAAAGAAAAAAAAGGAAAAAAAAAGAAGCAAACTATGTAGGGAGCTTAATATAGAAAATAAAGATTTTGATAGTAGAGATACTGAGTATTAAAGAATAGGTAAGGAATGTACACTGTGACTACTTCTAATCTCTAATTGTTAACACAGTCCTTACACATTTCACAGTACATTTACAATCCTCTTTCTAAGAATATGTAATTAATTTTGTATTGATACATGGCATAAAATTGCCAGATCGGGGTTTATGCCAACAGTCTTTCAGTATGAACAATTACTTTTGAAAATTCTCAGAATGATGGATACTTCTCCAGGTTTCAAACTTGTTTTTGCAGAGCTTTTTTCTACCCAGTGCTTCTATGTACCTGTGCAATAGTCTTAGGCTGGTTTGTGGCAAGAAAGTATCGAAGTAAGAAAAGAATAAGCCTTTTACTCCTGTTGAGTGACAGTGGAGCTTCCCATGTTATAGAGCTTTCTTTTATGAACCAAAGTTTTTATTTTCATCTCTGATTTCAGTTTGTCTTGTCCTTTGGTCCTGTCTGAAGGAGATGAACAGTGATACTGCATCCAAGATGCAGCTCTTGAAAAGCCGCGATCGCTCGGCGACGGCAGCGGCGTGTGCAGCTCTGGGCTGGTGGCTAAGCTGACAAATTGAACTGACATCGAGTGGAAAGGGCAGGAAGGAAAGCTCTGAGCAGCAATAGAGGACAGAAGGGAGCCTTTTAAGGGATTTTGCTGCCTCCTGCCAGGTGTTATGAGCTGTACCTGGGTTTGGGACTGAACAGGGCTGTGATGGCGCTGCCTGTCCATGCTCTGCAGATATTTGGGGAGAAAGAGGTGAGCTGAGGCTTCAGACACCTCGCTGCCTCTTCCCAGGCCCCTGGCAGCCTTGTGCTTCCTGCTGCTCTCTCAGGTGCTCTGCATTTCTGGAGTTAATGTGATTTTTATTTGTTGTTTTGTGAGGTATAAAAGGCTTTGGGTGCAACTCCCTGGGATGCTGATGGGCATGACAAGAGTGTCCAGAGATAACGTGGTGTATTGCACACTGGGAAGGGAGTGTTTTATAAGTAGTCTCAAGCCCCACGCTTCACAGTATAAGCCAGTATCCATTTGTTAATAGTTACAGTCAGCCTTTTAATCTGTTTACCAGATTATTATTTGTTATTTGATTATTGTTTATTATTCCTCACACTTGGCTTTTAAGCCGTCAGACCTGGTTGCTGCCAGACGCAAGACAGAGAGTTATTGGGACCTCAGATCTTAGCCACAGTGGTGGTTCCTCTGTTTTTATGTTCAGGGACTTTCATATGACTTTAAAGTAAAATCTTTGTTTGATACATTAAGGCCTCACAGTAGTTTGTGGCAAAACTTAGCTTTTAGTTTTGGATGGTATTACCTGGTGTTTTATGCAGAAAAAGAAAAGCTTTTCAAACAGCATTTAAGCTTCACTTGCTTCTTTCTCTTCAATATTTCTTTTAAATAAAATAAGCTATAGTTTTCAGTAGTATGGCCTATTTCTATATGATTGTAATTCCTCTTTATTGTTTTAGAGAAACATTGTACAGTTCACTGGACCACATAATGCTCTCCCTGTATATCCAGAACTCCTCATTCTTTCCACTGAATTAATATCACCTGCAACCTGCAATTATTAGTTTCAGCCAAGATCATTTATGGAAAAGACATTTCAGGAAGGCCATATGACAAAATGTATTATAAATTTCAGGAGACAGAATAAATTACCCTGAATAATATAAAAACTCGTATCTGACCATGTAAATTGGTAGTAAGTGCAAGGGGAGAGACTTTGTAACTTAAGATATTTTTTCAAGTTCTGGCTCAGCCATGCAATATTTCTGAATCTCTTCTTGTTATAAATTTATTTACAGCATCAAAATTACCAACCAGGGAAAAGGAGGTTATTTTATTAATACTTTTGTGGACATTTTCCCTCTGTGTGTATATTTTCTTCCTAGGAACTTAGCATTCCTGTTTAACTTTATTTTTGCTTTGAGAAGCCACAGAGCACTAACACTGTAGGTATTCCTGGTGTTTTCAAATCAGAAGCTGTCTGCTCCATGACATTTATTTAATCAGATGTTGGAGCACTGCACAACCACTGAAGCATGAAAGGGAGACTATCAGGTAGCTGGAACATAAGGAGAAATTAAATACTTTGATATCTTCTGTTCACCCATCCTGGAATTTGAGGGAGGTATCAGCACTAACCACATGTGACTCTTGCAAGCACTATGAAAATTTACATGCCTGCAAGGAAATACAGCTTTGTTTTATATTGCACATGAGGAGTTTGAATTCCAGCCATAAAATGCTCCATTGTAGAGCGTGTTGGGTGTAGAGCTTTGCCTGCTGGTGCCCCGAGTGCCACTCCTGGGATGGGTGGATGCATGGATCTCTCCCTGGCTCGAAGTCTGAGGACCTCAGGGGTCAGGGTGATGGGTGCAACCAGAGCAGAACTGAATCTGGGTGATAAGGCTGCTAATACTAAGTTTCTAGCTTTCCATTTTAAACACTTTCCCGTGCACAATTTACAGATACAAGCCTTGCCTCCTGTTCTCTCGCTGCTCCCTGCTTGCTAAGAACAAAGTTGTCCTTCAGAAAGCATTAAAGCGTGCACTCAACATAAGGATGTTGAGCGTTTCTGAAGAAATGCAACAATGAAGAAGCTCTGAGAAACGGAGACAACACATGATGTTTCTGTGTTTGATGTGGCACTTTGTTCTGTGCACAGCGAGTACCAGACTCCACCACAGAGCTTCTTCACGAGCGTGGCAGCATGCAGAGCTGGGAGGGGAGCACACACCTCCAAAGTTGGCTTCACCAGTGGTGATTGTCTCCCTGTTTTTACAGGTGGTGGCCTTGGGAGAAGTGCCCGATGGCACGGTGGTGACTGTCATGGCTGGAAACGATGAGAACTACTCTGCAGAGCTGCGAAATGCTTCTGCCGTGATGAAGAACCAGGTGGCCAGATTTAATGACTTACGATTTGTGGGCAGAAGTGGAAGAGGTAGGCCACTGCCTTTTATGTGTTTGTAATGACATGAAAAAGATGCCTAGATGTCAAACTTACTTCACAATGAAATATTGATTAACCCGTAAATCCATTGTTCATAGAATCACAGAAAAGTTTGGTTTGTAAGAAACCTTAAAGCTCATGTCATTTAAACCCCTTGCCATAAGCAGGGACACCTCCCACTAGACCACATTGTTCAAATTGTCAGGTTTGGGGTTTTTTTGAGTGATGTGCACATATTTTATTGTCAAACTTCAGCATCTGCACAAAGCAAATTAGGAGTCTCTGTAGCTTTTTATCAGACAGAGGTGTTGAAAAACAATTCAGGGAGTACCTGCTTCCCTGTTTGAATCACACAGGAAGGGTGGAAGGCAAAGGGAATATCTGTGATCCAGGTTATGCAGAGTCAGGGGAGTGTATTTCAGGCCATGGCAGTGAGAGGTGGAGAATTCCCTTTAGCAGTAGAGCTGCTTCTGAAGTTGTTGTAGAAAACCTGTAATTAGGGGGATTTTGCATATCACATGTTCTATAGGTTGTATTCTTTAGGGACTTAAATCTTTCAAGGCTTAACAGCTGTTGGTAGAAAGCTTTCTAGTGGCTTCTCTGCCCTTTAGACCAAACTGTTGATAACCTGTGAAAATCACCCCCACTTTTCTTTTTAGTAAGCTAGTTGACTTTTTATGAATTCCTGGTAACCTTGGGCATGAACTAAATTTAACCTTTACTTTAATGTCAGGGTAACTTTCAATTTTTTTCCATTCTTTTTTTTTTTTAAGATGTAGAGTCCTGTCATTGTCTTCCAGTTCTTTAGAAGTTTCCTATAATCTGAAAACTGCACTGCACTTAGAGAAAGCTTTTGTAATCATTGCAAATTTGCAAGAATTCCTCTTTAAGGGTCACACAGCAGCTTTCAAACTTCAGGTAACGATTGAAAGAATAGCTCAAAGGAAGCTGGCACTGCAGTTCTTGTTGCAGGAGTCTTCAGAGTGGTGTTGTATCAGTCATCAGTCAGATCTGGCCTACGTATTTTTTTCCTTTATGTAGTTGGAGTAATTATTCTTTTTTTTCTAAATCAACCCTGCACGGGGTAAAACAAAGCAAAAGAAGTAGAGTGATTGTGCTGGGAAATTAGCAATAAGGCATATTTTATAGTAATATTCTTTAGAAAGCAGTTGCAGTTCATCTGCAAGGAAAGAGTTTTTGTCCGAAAAAAAATTAAACATATGACAGAGTCCCAGATAGTCCAGATCAGTCAGCACATTTTTACAAGTACTTTGTGAAAGTGAGTCCATAAGCATGACTTACAGTGACTATTCTTTATTTTAATTACCTAACCAAAAATTATCTTTATCATTTTAGAATTTAAAAAGTATTAATAAGAGAGAATAACTTGAAAGAAATAATTATTTTATCAACAGCAATACAACATAAATATAGAGTTTATTCCCCCCTTGAAAAGGTGTTGCCTGTCTCTTCCATTTGTCTTCTTTTCTTTAAGTAATCAGTTTGCTTTGTTATTCTGCTGATGGATTAGGTTTGAAAGTTCTCTGGCTCCATCACTACTACTGCCTTACAGTAGAAGTTCAGTAGTGTATCAGGCTTTTAGTAGTGCTGAAAAAGGACTGAAATGTGATGCACTACCTCTGATCTGAGGATTTAATTTCAAACCTATGATATATACTTTTTATTAAAGCGTAGGAAATGAAATAGACAGCCTAAAGCCTCAGAAGATACACATACAGACACAAACACAGAGCTCCTAAAATTTGGTTCCAGTAGTTTAATTTATATTTTTATCTAGCAGACTTGGAATAGCCTTTTTCTCTGATCAATCTGGGTAGAATCTATGGAAAAGTGATAGTATACTTTTCAAACCCTCAACATATTTATTTAAGAGACTTCAAAGAAAAACAAAGGGTGTGCACTGTTTTACTATATTGGCTTTCTGAGTTTTGGCTAGTTTCCCAAATAGCAATTTTTATATTTAAAAAAAAAAAAAAAAAAGTTTTTAAAAAAAAGGGAAGAAAAAAGACAGACTTAACTGCTTGCAGACTTTTCACGCATGGAAGATGAAGAAAGCTTCTTTTGATGAAGTGTAATTATGTCCAAACAGAGCTGACCCCCTCCCCCTATATTTCTTATGATCTTAACGGAAGAAAGTAGGGCTTTTCCTTTGAAGCAGCCGGGACTCGGTGGAGGATCTGAAATGCTGCATTCTCCTGCCAGAGGCAGGATGGAGAAATTGGTCCAGACTTGTCTCCCAGACTTAGAACAGAGAGGGGGGGAGAGAGAGAGAGAGAAGGCGAGAAGGGGAAAGAGTTATCATTAATGATAGATTTTTAGAATTATGCTTAAAATAGCAGGAAAATAAATCAGTAGTTGCAAACAGAAGTGAGAAAGCTCCTTACCTAGACAAATATCAGTAAATACAAGTCCTGAAGTAGAACAGGAAAAAATAAACTAATAAAGAAATCATTTTTCAGTGGCAAGAAACTAATCCACACCTGTTCCTGACTTGAGATTCACATCTTTCTAAGCAGCTCGTGCTTTTGATCTCTGTATCTCTAAATTTGATTGTGAAGTCTGAATCATCAACTTACCACTTCACCTCCTCTCCCACGTTTTTCCTTGCTTCCCACGGCTCAATGGAGAAACCCGATTTTTATACATATTCATTTTGTTTGCTTGACAGAAGCTTCACGTTTCTGTTTGCATAATTTCCCTTAAACACCTTTTTTGGATTCATAAGAGTAAGTGCCCGGAGTGTTTGATGCGAATGCAGCAGTTGTTTGTATGTGGTTTTCGGGCGGTAGCTCACTTTTACAAGCCCGATCCACAGCTCAGAGAAGAAAGAATTCCTGTCTTCAATAAGCAAAGGATCATAACCTTAATTTTGTTGTGTCCCGATACTTTAATCACATTAGCATCTAACTGAAAAAATATGCAACACGCACACACAGGCTGCCGAGTCTCTTTTCAAGCTCCTTTCTGGGGTTTGCCTTGTGCTTCAGCATATGTCCATCTCGTCCTCCTCTGTGTCAGCTCTGCTCACATGTGTGAATAACAAAGAATGCACAGTTTAGACACACTGAAGCAATAGTGCCAGATGACTGCTTGGCTGGGGAATTTAATAAAAGAGAGCTACAATTAGTCTGTAGCCTCTGAAAGTGGATAGTTGAAATGACTAAGGGCAATAAAGAAAGGTGATAAAAAGTGCATTAAAGGATTTTGCAGCTGAGGAGGGATAGCTGTGAAATAGCTGTGGAAGGCATCAGCATCACTGAAACAGGGAACCTTAAAAATTTATTTCATTCTTAATCCTGTAATATGTAAATCATCTCTTGAAAGCTCTGGAGTGCCCTGGCAGGGCCGTGCAGCTCCCCACAATGAAGGGCTCTGTGGTTTATGGAGTGTGAGGGGGCTTCGTCAGTGTTACTTCATCCACACTTTGGTTTGTAAAATACCAGTTAGGGAACAAAACCAGTTTCCCTCTTAAATTAGCTGCTTGCCTCCTCAGCTCAGGTTTTCTGAGAGGTGACAGTTCAGAAATTCTCACTGTCGAGGTCCAAATGCAGCTCTTTTTATTAAGGAATGCATTTTTTTCTGGCCACTGCATCCTGTTGAGATATATTTAGGGTAGAAAATATTGCTGTGCTTTTCTACAGAATGATTTTGCAGGTTCTTACGGATAGTATATTTTGTTGAGTTAATTTTTTTGTCATATTAGACATTTATAGGGATTTGGTATATAAAGAACAATAGCATAGAAGGCCAAATTATTCGTTCAAAGGTGTATGGAAAAGTCCTTTAGTATCTTTGTTACCAGTAATATTCTACTGATCATCTAGGGGTTACTCTGATCTGAATGTCATCAGCATAGAATCTTTTAGTAAGAACTTTTTGACATGGTAAGCTGGTGCCAAAGGAAGCCTTAAACCTGAGCCTGGAGACCTATACAGATTTGTGCAGTGGCTGAATTCCTCTTTGGAGAGGGATAAAGGGCACGGACGCTTCCCAGCCCTAAACAAGCAGTGTGAGCACTGTAGGGCTGCTGCTGCGTGTGTGAGCACTGCCCATGCCCTGTGCTGGTAGGGCTCACAATTCACCTCTGGGACATCAGGACTGGACAAAGACTGGACATCCTAAATACACCTAACTCTGCTTCTGGGATGACTGAGGAAATAATCATTTTTCCCAGTGAAAATGGGAAACGCCATCTTCAGCCATGCCCCTGGGACAGGATTCAGCATCCTGAGATTTTTGCATGCTTAAACTGACAGAGGGCAGGTTTAGATTGGATATTGGGAAGAAATAGTGAGGATAGTGACTCACTGGCACGGGTTGCCCAGGGGAGCTGTGGATGCTCCATCTCTGAAGCTGTTTAAGGCCAGGTTGGATGGGGCTTGGAGAAACTTGTCTAGTGGAAGGTGTCCCTGTCCATGGCAGGAGGGTTGGAACAATATGATTTTTAAGGTCCCTTCCAACCCAAACCATTCTATAATTCTATTTGCCAGGGTCCTGACCTTCCCTCTAACCTGCATCTCCCAGAGAGCTGGGCACAGCTGGAGCACAGCTTCACCTGGAAAATCATTTTACTCTAAATGACAGTTATATTTCCTTTAAAAAAAAATCCATGTCACATTCTAGTTCATGAAAATTATAGCCAAGACAGTTTGAAGTTGCACTCCTGATAATAAATGATGCATGTCTCAGGCAGGTTTGGGGGATATACGACTTGGACCAGAAAGAAAGACCAATTACTGGATTTGACAGCCAAAGCTCTGTTCTGTATTATGCCTTATATATAAGCTGTTCTATATTAGGCCTGAAAAAACTGCATTAAGTTTGTGCTGTTACATATCATTTAAGATTTGTGCCTTGATTGAATGCCTTCAGAGTTCAGCAAGAGGAAAAGCCCTAGCAGCAAAAATGCACAAATACACCCAGGGAGGAGGTGGGGTGGGGGGGGGGGGGGGGAGGGAAAAGAGCTTTAAGTGTCTGGTAAAGTAGCAGCTTAAATGAGCATGAAGGCCAAAGATTGCTGACTGTTTTATTGAGTCACTGTTGTACGCCCACCTTTTCCTGTCTTGAAACAGTTTTCAGTTTTGACTATCTGACATGAGTAACCGTTGCATATCTAACAGATTACAACTGTCAGTGAGTCTCCCAAACGGGGGCCAGCGCCTGTGAGAATGTGTGCTCAGATGCAGGCAGCTCCCTTTATTTATTTCTTTTACCGTTTTCATTCAGCTGAAGGCTGTGGATGTCTTGTGCAATCTCTGCCTGAATTCAAGCTTTGAAAAGTGAAAAAAAAAAACCAAACCAAAAAAAAACCCCAACAATGCAGACTGACGATAGCAAAGTACGTGCACACAGACATTTCTCACCCTCACGGGGAAGTTGGGGGCTTTCTTGGTATTTCATAGATGGAATATGTGTAGGGAAAAAAGGCGTGTTCCATAATGATATCATCATATTACCCCTGGCACATGAAGGACAGAGACACTGACTCCCTGTTAAAACATCTCCCAGGAGGAAAATATATTCTTTCCTCATCTTATTGTAGTAAAGTCAAACAAATGAAATGATAAAACTGTGTGAAGTAAATAACATGTGGTCACATTCTGCTCTCTGTCACACAGCTGCGAAACTGGAGTAAATTTTTAAATAATCTGACTTGCTTTGGATTTACACCACTTTCAATGCAGCAAAGAATTTGGCTTGTCCTCAGCAGTGAATCACTTTTGTTCTGTCATTGTATGATGACCCATTATTAAATAAGAAACATTTAGATTGTCAACACATGGACGTATTCTTGACATAGAGTAAAACTGAAGGGGAAGAAAACTCCTATGGTCAGTTATGTTTTTAATTTTCACGATTGTGGTAACGACAGGGAATAATTTTAAACTGATTCTTTACTGAACATGCATGTGACTGTTTTCATGTTGTAATCACTCATTCCTTGTTGTTTTTTCCCTTTGTAGGGAAGAGCTTTACTTTGACAATAACTGTCTTGACAAATCCCCCCCAAGTCGCTACATACCACAGAGCTATAAAGGTTACAGTGGATGGGCCAAGAGAGCCAAGAAGTGAGTATTATATTCTTCTTTTTGCTCTTCTGCCTGCTTAATTTTGTTTAACAGAAACCTGTAAATGAAATATGTATATCTTTGTCAAACATTGGTTTTTGCTCAGCAAAATATGTGAGTGCATGCTTAATTTGGAGTCTATTGGACCACACACATACTTGCATTAAACACTCACTTAAGTGCTTGGCTGAATTTGGGCAATCCTAAACCTGATTCTCATTCACATCAAGGTCTTGATACATAATCTGCCAGTGTAAATGAGAACTAAACCCAGTGTATTTATATATAATCTGATTTAGACGCAGTAGATACAATCCTGCAACATGCTGCATTCCCTGAACTCCTATAAGCTTCCAACTGAAGACATTTAGAACAAAACAGGAGCCTGATCTTTCAGGATCAGTCCTAGAATAGAGAGGAAACATATAATATAGTGCCTTTTTGTTTGCCCTTAAATTCTTTTGCCATCAGATAATTAATGCACCTGGTTAATCTCATCATACCTGAAGTTGGTTTTCAGCTATGGACTCATCGTAGACCCCCAGGGGCCAAAGAAAGATAAAAAAAGCAGTATATCAACAGCATAGTCTTTGTTTCTTATTTGTGCACAAAAAATATATATTTTTTAAACATAGTCCAGCCGATTTTCACCCAATATATTTATCTCATAGCCATGCAAGCTCGCTAAGAACCTATTTGCCATGATTTATCTATTTTGCAATGGCTGTACTTTTATGACAATTGTGTTTTGTCATGTTCTAGCAGTTTTATGGGTAGCACTTATTTTTAGATACAGTCAAGTCTGGTTAATCCATCAGGATTTATCTGGCTGTCTCTCTGTCTAGCACATTTAGCTGGTAACCAGTCTCACATCATATGGGTATCACTGATGAGCCAGTTCTGGAGTTTTTTCTTAATCTAACTATAAATGACTCTAAATTGATTGGATTAGCCAGGTATAGCGTTATTTAAATTACACGTAGAGATTAAGAATTATTTGATGAATAACCACATTAAAAGAATCTCTATAATGGAAGCATCTCAAATAATTATTTTGCCTTTGATCTGCACATACAAACGCAACCTTCAAGGAGCTTTCATGGTGTTTTGTTTAGAATACCACAAAGACAGAAGTAGAAAGATGTAGACAGAATTCATGCAGTTAAGTGTTTCTCGTGCCAACACACGCTGCAGAGTCACCTCCTCTTACACCGAGGTGGGAACTGAAATGCTCCCTGTAAGAACTCTCTGGGCTGGAGAATTTCACTTTGAAGAACAGCTAAGACAAAGCAAATAGCTCTGGGATGCATTTCATTAGGTGCATACTTGTGGTGCTACCTGCTCACAGCGGAGGTGTCCTGATGTCACAGCAGGGGGATTTTTGTTCTGTCTTCTCTCTGTAGGTCAGTTCCCATTTTTAATTTTCACTTGCAGCTGGTGCTCCATGTAACTTATTTGGAGGACACTGGGGAAGCTGCATTCATGTAGTAAAAATCAGGGAATAAGTTATATATCGTTTAGCCATTCCCATCTGGAGGCTGCTTCCATATACTGATACATCTGCAAAAGTGGAAATCTCCTGGCAGAGGACACAACTGTGGTGAAAGAGCAGAGAGGTTTGAAAATGATGTGTGGAGAGCAGTGTGTATTACCCTGCACAGCACAGAAAGGGACCCTGCTGGCATGGGGATGTTTTGGTGATCAGTGGATTGAAAGTGAGTCTGTGTTCATAGAATTTAACAATTCTATGTTATTCCTATAACTATTCTCCTAGTTCTTCTGGAATTTTTTACATTAGACCTAAAAGGCCTCTGTATGTGATACCCGTCTGCTGGTGTCTTTGAATAGCTGAGCCTAGAAATTCTCAGTTAACTGAGTTCTTATGGCCTACATGGAGTTATTATGTCCTTCTTCATCTTTTCTTTTCTTTCTTTCTCCCCTCTCTCTCTCCCTTTTTTTTTTCTTTATAAGAAAGTAAAATTTGAGCTTGAATGTGCATTTGTATTTTAATGTTTTGATGGAATAATGCAATCTTGTACTTTCACGTCATTCTGATACATCTCTGAAATGACTCATTATTAAACTTGAATTTGTAGGGAAAGAGTAGTTCCAGTGAGCTCTGGGAGTTTCACTGAAATTTTGCTTCTTTCTTGGAGACCCTGCACTTGCGTAGATACATTAGTTTGGTAGCAATCGTTCGATGAATGGATCTGGCATTTATGTTGCATAAGGAAAATTGCGTGGTTGGGGGCAATAAGGAATTCAAGGAGCCGCTCTGATAGCAAATGTGTTTGCCTTTAAAAATTATGTATCGGCAAATAGTGCCCCTCTCTGCCAGGATCTGTATTTCACTTCAACATTTCAAGCATGTTATCCTAGTTTTCCTCTCTCTGGCAGTTCAACCAGAGCTGTCACATCACAAACAACTTTTTTCTTAATACACACATCTGGCGTTGGCAGTTGGAGCAACTTCATAAGAGCACATGATCATCATTCATTACAAGATTAAAAAGTACCCCATGGCATCATTGATGTTTTTTAACTTTGATCTTTTGCAGTTGTGATTCATCTCAGTTATAAAACTTCCCTTTAAAGGAACACAACCAATGACTTACTAGAACCTTCATTCTAAGGAGTGTAAACATAAAATTATGCACATCTTTACAAAATGTCATTTACTTTGTTGCCAGCTTATCATTTTAAGACATGACATCATGCTTTAGATCGTGAATTTGTAAAGCTTGTTTATAGGCAAGGCACTCTGACCTTCTGCTGGCAAGTTGACTCGAGCAGACGAAAGCTGCCAGGTTCGCAGCAGCAGCAGGAGCAGCAGCAAAGCCATGACAGACATCACAGACATTTAGAGCCCGACTTCAGGAGTGCTGAACAGTCGTGGCATGCAGGGACTCCAGTTGGTGTTTTGGATGCTCAGCACTTCAGAAAGTCGGGTTCTTAAATGTAAGTGCCATTTAGTCGTATTAAACGCCTGCTTGTAGAAGCTTGCTGCCTTGCCTCTCTGTTATTATTTGAAAATATTTTAATATAGACAGTGATGTCAGGTTGTTCTGTTAGGAAAACTTGCCCATTTCTATACGAGGCAAGGTCTTCTGATGATTTTTTTCCTCAGAAAAGATTTATTTAATTTTACCTAACCTCTTCCATTCTATCTAGATTACTGTCTAGGGACATCTACTGTGTTGCAAAGTTTCCGTGCCGGATTGAGACAGTGCTTTGCACTCTGAGTGATGCAGTCTAGAGACAGGGTTGTATAAGATCTTTGGGAATCATTAGGAAATCCTGGAGATATTTTTTCTCTCCTCCTCTCCAGGATAAAACCTCTTCCATACGCACATCTTAGCCAGCAGAGCTGCCTTCCAGCTGGGAGGGCTGAAAGAAGTTTTCCGGAGAAGTTTTCATGAGGTCATAACTGACCAACAGATAGGCAGAGATTACTGTAAAGGAAGTCAAAGGAGAAAAAACAGAGAGCAAAGAAACCACCCAGATCTTTACCTAAGCCCCCCTTTAATGCCTTTGCCTTACCTCGTTACAACTACAGAAATAGTGATTTGCCCTTCCATAGTGGTACCTTTAGAATAGGAGGCACATCCTCCTGTCCAGCCGCTTTTGGGACAAACCCAGTCATGGGAGAATCATGAGGCAGGAGGGAAGAAAAGTCTATATATTTTTATATTTTGCCAGACTTCCAAAGACTTTAGTTTCTCTCTAATCAAAGGTAGGCTCCCAAGTCACCGACCCCAACTTTCTTGATGGGTGTGAGTGGAAAAGCAGCTCTGAGCTTTGAGCAGAAGCGTTTCAGGGGAGAAAAGTGCTCTGCTTCATTCAGCTCCCGAGCGTTTCTCTGCTGCCGCAGCTTGCAAGGTGCACACGTGATGAAAGGTATGAGCAAACATCGCATCGCCTTTTTGTCTGTGCACGCTGCGGAGGCAGCCAGAGCCAGCCAGGGCTTCAGCTCAGCCCCCACATTAACTGTTTGCCCGACCCGGCTTATAAAACGCAGAGAAGTGATTGAGATTTTTGAGATTCCTTGACTTAAAACCATAACAGTTTTTAGGAAGTTCTCCCTCTTTTCTTTCAAAGGCGGACAGGGTGGAGGGATAAGTCTGAGGCGAGTGGAATGTGCTTTGGAGTAGAACAGCTTTAAATCTTTCAGTTTGTCTTTCTTTTTTTAATTTTTCTTTTTTTTCTTTCTATTTTTTCTTTCTTTTCTTTTCTTTGCCTTCTTTTTTTCTCTTTTTCTTATTTTTCTTTTTTTTTCTTTTCTTTTTTTTTTTTTCTTTTTTTTTTTTGACTGCCTGTCAGGAGCTGGGCTGGTGGCCAAGCAGGAAATGACACATCGAGAGGCATTTGTGTTGTGCAACATTTTGTGGAACTGATGCAAGGATACATTGTCTGTTTACGCATTCCTCTGCTAACAGCCTGCATGGCAGTAATTTTATTCAGGGACACATGGCATGCTACAGCAAGGAGCTAGAGCCTTAACATCTCTTTATGCAGAATTATCACAACAGTTAAAACACTCAGTGTGTCCCCCGTTTCCAATAGTCTCTGGCCTGCCTTCAAAAACCGCTCTACCAGCCCCCCTTCCTTCCCAAGAATATATTTGTTTGACTGTAGGGTTTTTTTTGCACTGTGGTAAATTGGGGCAGTGCAGAGAGAGAGAGAGAAGAAAGAGAGAGAGTTTGCAGAATAAGAGGAAATTTAACAGGCAGGTCCCTACTTCATGCATCGCCCTCAGACTGAGTGGAGCAGTTCAGCTTTTTTGGGCGATGCTTTGCCGACGCTGAAGGCGTCGGTTTGCATCTGCATGTGGTTTGGCACGGGGAGGTTTTTAATTAAAGTCAATGCTAAATACCCCGAGATGTGATGAGCGAGTCTTGGGGTTTCATCCAAACCGAAGCTAGAAAATCTGTGGCTCTCTCTGGTGTCTTTCAGAGTGACAGATCTCTGCTGAGGTTGGCTGGGTAGGTCTGGGTTTATCC